ATCTTTGGTGTTATAAGGTGTTTTGTTGGTCTCTCGCTCAACTGCGCTCCACACAAGGGGTTGCAGTCTGGGGAGTTAAGTGGCTAGATGTAAGGGGTGATGTTGCAGAAATTGTCTGGCAGACATGACTGCGTCCTCTGACTACTGTAGCATGGGGCAGAGTCCTGAAGCCAGACATAGGGTCTACCGGCAGCCACCATCTTGACTAAGAGTAGCACTACCTCCTCAAGGAACTTGATGTAGGCCTCGGTGTTGAGTCTGAGGATCTCGCCACCAAATTAGGGAGTTCTTTCCTCATCAGAACGATCTGAGTGAATTTTCCGAGCTGCCGCACCCTCGTAATCACAATTAGAGTCATCCAACTCTTTTCAAATCCTCTGAGCTGCACCCGGATTCACACCCAAACACTCTGAAATGTTCGTATTTGAGCGTCCGGAACGGAAGCCAAGCAGTACAACATGCCGTTTCCAAAGTTCTGGAGAAATAAATTGCGCCATGGTGTTCTTTTTCTCAAAGATGGTGACCAACTGAGCCTACTATACTGTGGCAGACGACAAAATCAAAATCAAACACCGCGCATGCGCAAATTAAAAATAAATAATGGCGAAAATTTCCCCATCGCACTCTGTATTTGCTGAATTTATTTTATCTCCATGGGCAGAGGCGGTGAGGTTCTGGATTATTATAATATCAATCCTGAATATGTAAAGTTCACGTAGCAGTTTAAATAGTTCTCTGTGACGTAATTTATCGAATAAAAGAATCTAGCGGGTCTCACAGTAACTTCCTCTTCCCTGGGAGACGACGGTCCGATTCCTACCGTAGTGCGCAATTATTTCTTTAATAAGAATACGTGAACATTGAGGCCGCCAGGTGAAAATAAATATGTGAAAGAAACGGACCGTCTACTCAAATATGATTATCTACTAAAAATAATGTTTAAAGTGATAAGAATAACTAGTACAGTGTAACCCGGATATAAGTGAGTTGTCGGGACCGGAGAAGAAGTCTCTTATATCCGGGTTTGGTCTATTTTATATACATTAACACAGGCTCTAATTTGGGACCAGAGAAAATCTCTCTTATATCCGGGTTTCTCTTATATCCGGGTTTCTCTTACATCCGGGTTACACAGTACCACTATTTGCACTAACGTTTAACTACATGTCCATAGCGACAGAACGGTAATTTTCTTCGTTGACACATTCAACGATTTAGACGGTATGTAATTTTCATTGAATATGAACAAAGAAAGCTCAGTAAATAAATCAATAAACCGTACGTAAACACAAGCTAATTAAGCCAGAGTTAAAAGCTTAAGCATTAACTAGCTGTTTGCCTCGGACAGACGGCTGAATATATTATGATGGCGGAAGAGTTCATTCGGATTTTGACGTCAGGCGGACATTAAATGTTTAGAGAAGGACACTGATTGTACTGTGACAGTCAACATATCATCTTGTTGGTTTTTTTCAAGTGTTATAATTGATAGATATTTGTTTTGTGAATCTAGAAATAACGATTGAGGGAGGTAAGCAACATTATTACAGCTTTATCTGTTTAAAGGACATCAGATTCGATAAAAGAATGTCAATTTATGATAGCAGAATTAGAAAGATACAAATGAGTTAAAAGTATTTTCAAATAGTTGTAAAGGTAGATTTTCTTTTTTTAATTGAACGATATAACACGGTCAGGGAGAACCCTTGAGGCTGATAGCAATGACATCAATAAACCTTTATTGATAATCATTATTATGAAACATGTTTAATAGAATGCTGCTTCTTCTTTTTCTCCTCCTCTCCCTCCTTCCCATCCAATAAACATCCATTTCTTCTTCTTCTTCTTCTTCTTCTTCTTCTTCTTCTTCTTCTTCTTCTTCTTCTTCTTCTTCTTCACTATCAAAACGTCTTACACTACTCATCAGAGCAAAATATATATATATATATATGTATATATATACATTATATATATATATATATATATGTATATATATATATATATATCAGTATATATATATATATATATATATATATATATAATTATTCTTTTAAATAATAAAAACATAAATATGTTATAAAATCAATACAAAAAAATAGCCATTTTGCGGTGATTTTATAAATATATTTATATTTTATTATTTAAAAAAAAATAATTATATCTGCTCTACTTTGTATTGAGCACTCTTTTAAGAATAGTAATTGTTGGTTATTGGAATTCATTCCGTATACCACATTCATATACTTAGTATATATATATATATATATATATATATATATATATATATATATATATATATATATATATATATATATATTTAGAACGAAGGGGACTTAATATTAGTGATAGAGAGTTAGTCAATATAAACAATAGGGATAATATATATATATATATATATATATATATATATATATATATATATATATATATAAGTTTAAAATTCAGGATGTCAATTAAAATACTCGACCGCGGTTTCGACCTGGCGTTGAAAAGGTGATAATTTCAAAATGACCATTTTAACGCTGTATTTCTTTAAAAAAATACAAAGAACTCTACATAATTATCTTTCACAAAACAGGCGTATGATTATTGAAAGACAGGACATAATGCGAAGAGAAGTAGAAAAGTGGGATGAAGGAAAGATTGAACATGTCAAGGAGGTAAAAAGAAAGAAGGCAAACTTGAAACCGCGGTCGCGTATTTTAATTGACATCCTGAATTTTAAGCTTAAATGATCTACATGCTATTATTTTTAAAAAATTATTTTTACTTATATTTTCCTCACGTGTATTGCCTGTTCCTTTGTCTTGTTGAGCGAGACAGAAGTTATCCCCCCTTTGACTACACCTTTAAAAATCTAAAAATAGATATATAGATAGTCACGTGAACAGCCCGGCGGATCCTTAGGCGCAAAAGTCAAACATCCTTTTAGGTTCCTGGCAGTCAAATGAGAAAGACTTAATTATTCAGGCTCATGACTATCAACTTAAGATAAGTACTAAAGATAACCTCTTTTTTCAGATATCAGTCTCTCACAAAAACATATACACTCTGTATGAACATTTCAAAATATATATATATATATATATATATATATATATATATATATATATATATATATATATATATATATATTCAATTGATGTTATATGAAGACTTATATGGTTATTTTAAACTTGTTTTATGTGTTTATGTTGTATTGCTATTCGCTTTGTTAATTAATCCAATAGCACACTTGAATACAACAGTCTGATTCATCTCTGACTATTAAACTTTATATATACATATATCTATCTATCTATCTATATCTATCTATATATATATATATATATATATATATATATATATATATATATATATATATATGTGTGTGTGTGTGTGTGTGTGTGTGTATTGGGAACCCAAAAAAAAAGCGGCATATTTATTGTCACTGTTCTATCTCTCAGGAATAATTGACCTTGAATTACCTTGAATAAATTCCTTGAATATTCATGATCTTGAATAATCATTCGACTCACGCGTAATTACTAAGCTGTGATTCGTTCTTTCATGATTGATTAATTGCTGGTATTGGGAGAAAACTTTCGTCTTTCGTTCTGTCCTTCTCGTATAGCTAAACAACTCATTGACTGTGAATATCAAGCGATCGTTCTTTTCAAAGAAGGACATCCCACGTGAGGATTGAAGAAATGTGCAGAAAATATTCTTGAATTTTTCAGTCGCATCAATCGTTCACAGTTTTCAACGGTTGTCTTACGTCTTTCTGAATTAATCGCTTGTCAATGGGCACCGTATATATATATATATATATATATATATATATATATGTGTGTGTGTGTGTGTGTGTGTGTTATGTATATATGGATATATATATATACGAATATAATGATAACGAAAATAGTATAAAAATTCTAGCGTTCACAGCATTAGAAAGAGGGCCCAATACCGATAGTAGAGCAATAATTATTTATTATAATTTTTTCATATAGACAAAAACAATATACTCACTGCAAAATGCAACTTCGTTTCAGTCCATTTAAAATTCCACTTCGACTGGTGAGAACGAAAATGGTTATGAATCAAAGGAAGTGACGTTTCACATGCGGCTTACATACATACAGAATTAATCCTAATCATTTTCGTTCTCACCTGTCGAATTGCAGTTTTAAATGCACTGAAACGAAGTTTCAACTTTGTAGTGAGGAAATTATTTTTGTGTCTATGAAAAAATTATATATATATATATATATATATATATATATATATATAGTGACTGTCAAAAACGATTGCAAATATTACAAGCAAAAAAAAAAAAAACAACATTATCAACAAAAACAAAATTTTACAAGTATATCATGAATGTAAAAAAATAAAACGATATGAAAATTTGAAAAGACCAATTATGGGGAAGAAATGTCTGCTCTGGAAAACGTGCTTTGTTTTACTTATCAAACTATGACTGTTTAGAGAATCTGGAAACGCTTGCTTTAAAAAAAAATGTGATATATTTATTTGTTGACGAAAACGCATTTTCTCTTCATACACCTATTTACAATAATTTATAGCGCTCCCTTCACACTGTCTCCATGTGTTTGACATCTGACCGTAAATGTTGACGTTTTCGATTTTCGAATCTGGACGACCAGCGAAACAATAACGCCAGAACTGATGCGAAATCTCTTAGGTGTAGTGAAATTTCAATCCTCACCGCGAACGGAATGTCAATAGACTAAAACATGAAAATGCTATCGCCCGTGTGTCAAAGGCTCTCATTGTGAAGCCTCTTGAACACAAGTGGTATCGATCGATTTACAAAGCAAAACGATGCGTCGCTAGTGGAACGACGATGTCAATAAATATGGTTAAAGTCTGAGTTGTGTTCAATATGCTTCCCCACTAGAGCGTTTATCGCGTGACGCATTGAAACTGCGCATTAGCAAAGAACGTTGTACAAAAGCGGAAAACATTTCAACAACTATACCTGGCACATTCGCTTTCTAATGGACATTGCACAAGGTTCATTGTTATTTGCAAAAGGCTTCCTTCTTATTTCCGCCGTGTTGATTACTTTCTCCGAAGGACGTAAACTGCTGACGGTACAGAGGCTTCTTAAAATGTCATCCTTCTTAAGCGATACACCGAATGACAAATGTGCATAGAGACTGAACTTACATTTCTTTTTACAGTGGTGTTCACCCTGTACAGTTGCATACGGCCACACGAGCTAGAGGTTTAAGGTATAAGACGTACAGCTTATGTGCGGAATATAACGATTAACCGTAGCCTCGAACAGGTTAAGATCATAGTGATCGGGGAAATATCCTCTTGGAAATCGGTTCCACAGGGCAGTGGTTCGTGGGAAGATGCTGCTTAAGTGGAACTTACATTTCACCAGGGGGGACAGGGAAGGCGTTTGCTACAATGTGCGAGGCATGGCGAGTGTTAGCCGTTAAGTTTAGTGCTGGTGGCGCTAACGAGATGTAGTTCATCTAAATGCTCACCTCACCATGGAAACAGCGATAGAGCAGAGAGGCTTACGACGTCTCCTTTGAGAGAAAGAGGTTGATAAATTTAGCTGATTCCTAGCAATATCATTAAGCACTGTGACATTTGTGATTAAATATTTTTTACCTCCTTTCAAATAACAGCAATTTATTATATATATATATATATATATATATATATATATATATATATATATATATATATATATATATAGATAACTAGACTCGTTTTGCTAAAAAACCCTCGAATTTTGATTTGCTAATCAAATCAATCTCGAGGGAAAAAAGGTTTTAAAAAAAGAAAGAGCTACAAACATGAACTTCTGTCGACAAAAAAAATATATTTCTCTTTGCCTCGTTAGCTAAACTTTCCCTGACGATCCGTTTAGGTGAAACCTAGGTAGGTTTGTCTAGCTCACTAGGTGTATCTATATATATATATATATATATATATATATATATATAATTTAAATTGTGCTATATTTATGGGTAAAGTGCACAATATCAGAGAGAGAGAGAGAGAGAGAGAGAGAGAGAAGCGTATAAATATAAAAGTGAACATTAAAGTCAACACTCATCTATTGCAGGCTGTTTCATGCTAGGCACAATCGTCAGGCCTAACGATTGTGTCTAGTATGAAACATCCTGTCGCCTCTGAGTGTGTTTATTTTTGAATAAAAATTCACTTTTTATATATATATATATATATATATATATATATATATATATATATATATATATATATATATATATAATATATATATGTGTGTGTGTGTGTGTGTGTTTTGAGCACAGTTTATTTAAATATTACATTTTGCAGATTAATTTTGCTTATATAGTGAAATTTAAATATAAATCAGTAATGTTAGGCGTATTTTCGAATCTATTTTCATCTACAAAATTAATTAAAAAGACTTCAATCTCAAAACAGTGATATAGCGTAAACTTTTCATAATTTTACTGGCATCATTTTGGCGGGCCTATTTTACAGGTTGCAGCAGAAATACCTCCCGGAAATACCTTACTATAATACCTCCTACATAATGGTAAGGCTTCAGCTAGATGAATGCACCACTGCCACTGATGTCTTATTAATATGTGGCGAGTCTTTCTGGTAGGTAGATGTGGGTGGTATTTCTGCCCCACCCTGTATATTTTTTATCAATATATTTTTTAGATAGTGTATATTTCAAAATTTCAGATAATGTATATTTTATAACATTTTATGCACACGGATTTTATGAACCGCTTTTATTTACACACTTTTACATTATCCAGTTGACGAAAATATCTTTTTTCGGTAAATATATAATTTGGAAACAATTATATTTTCACGTTTCGTCGAAGAAGCGGTGTCAACATTTTAAAGGGTTTTATTTCAACAATTCTATATTTGACAAAACATGATTCACGCTAAACGTCATTGGAAGTGATAAGGTAATTTGATTTATGGTCTACTCTTATCGTCAGCGATCCCCTTGCATGTTTCCTTTCATAGAGTTTTGTCTTTATGCATGATCAAAGTTCACAATGTCTAAATCTACGGGTACCCCCAGGCAACGTCCTCACAGAAATCTCATTTGGTAGAAAAGTCAGTTGCCTCTATAGCAGTTTGTTGAATTCGTTACAGTTTTCTAATCGTGGAGCACGGGAATAGGTTGGCATATTCAACTCAGAGACACTTTAACTACGATATGGTTAACAAGCTTATTTACATGACCTCATGGACCATATTTAGAGTAGAGGAATTTTTCATTATTTATTTTTTTTTCTATATCTATTCTGTAAAAGCAGCATGGATTACGAAAGCATTTTGGTCTTCGGGTAGATTGATAGTCTCTTCTGTACACTTTCATTCTAACCTGAAGAAGCCGAACAAAACGGAAGCTGTCAGCGAAACGCGTCATTTATAGCTTTACCACTTTGTCTCCATATCTTTATATCGACTATTTTATCTTTAACTGCATCACTATAGAAATTACATTTAACTGCATCATTATAGAAATTACATTTAACTGTATTATTATTTAAATTAGATTATAACTAAGATTATAACTAATTTCAGCTTATAACTAACATTTAAGTTTATCGTTATTTAAATTAGAGTATAACTAATTTCATCAGTTTATACTTTGATTTATTTATTTATACATTAAGTTTTTTCTATGGTTTCCGCAACTCACACTGTGTCACTACGAGTTTCAAAAAGAACAAGTGATAAAATATAATTGGTTGGAGGTACAGTTTACGCAGGAGAATCTTTAGATGAATCTTCGTCGAAGAAAATAAAAACAAATTTCTTAAAAAGGTGTTTACCTGATGAAAATTGTAGGTCACGAAAAATCCGCCGCTAAAAAACAAAAGCATTGATTGCGTTATTTAATTTTAACACCCAGAATTATCACCACTCAAGATGAACGAATTTTCCCTAACGGATTACCTGACGTTGAGCGCCTATTGGGATTTCAACCCAATCCAGACTTCAACTGACACTCGTACTTACGAGCCATCGCTAAAGATGCTGGTAAAATGATCGGTTCTCTCCTCTCCAGTAAGTACCTAACGTCTCCTTCTATCGTCTACCTTACAAGAGCCAGATTAGATCAAAAACGGAGTAGTGTGGCCGTATATGTCCAGGAGCTGCCGAACTTTCAATTCCCCGTCTTGATAGAGTCTAAAAGCTAGGCATTGCTACTGAGTTCTCTGTAACAATTACGTTTCTACAGGGTTGGGTTCTTAATTCCACAGAATTGTTCTTCTCCTAGACTGATTGATTTTGCTATTAACCACTATCAGGCTGTAGATGAAGAGGGGGACTCATACATTTACAAGAGTACCTGTGCAATAGCGAACGCAAAAACATCGACTGGAATTAGTATATGAAATCCTAAATTCCGCGACAACCAATACATCCATGATAGATTCCATGGTAATGATTAAAAAAGGACTCTTTTAGAGTAAATTATACTTTGGGATTATTTCACTTGTGTGAATTATTCTTTGAATGATAGAAAAAAATCATCTTAGAAAGAAAATAACACCAAGAACCGTCTGATGATCCGAAAGATGTAAACGATGTGGTAGTTGGAATTCTAAAAGAAATAAAACTATGAATATTTTTCTTAATCGATATATAAATACTGCGATTTCCTTTTGTCTGTCCGTTCGTCAGTAACACCCTCTAAAATAGTCATTCATTGACCGATTGAAATCAAATTTTGGAGAGAAGTGCAAACAAGAGATTACAAAGTAAAATTGGCTTTACTAGGGATCGTAGCTTAGAACAATAAATTTTCATTATTATTTTGAAAAAATAAGAATATTATTTAAAATACAAAGTACTCACACTAATTTAAAAAAAATAATAATTAATAAAAGTCACTTATTTAATAAGAATGCTATATTATTTTTGCATATCTTTTTATGTTTTTTTTTATACAAGAATCCAGTTTCCATTTCGTGTTGCTTTTGCGAGAACGATAAAGAAATCACAAAGACAAATGGTTCAAAGAATTGGAATTTTAGTTCCAGCAAGAAATATTTACGCATGGTCAATTATATGCTGTATGCTCAAGAGAAAGAAATGCCTAAACTTTACTTTTCGCTATTAAAATGGAGAAAGAAAAGAAAGAAATTTTCTTAAAAAATATTGTTTGCCACGAAGTCCTATAAAATAAAATTAAATTAAAGGAATAATCAAACAACGAAGAAAGATTTTTGTTAAAGTATTTTTCCAAACAAATTAGCTTATTTAAATTTCATCGATTGGTTTGCGAAATTGAACGAAAGGTAGACTTTAGAAATCTCGACAAAAATTTTAGCGATAACTTCAACAATACTAAATACTGTGAGGAATTTAACACACGTCAGCATGGTGCAAAAATATTCTATTAAATTATATTTTGAAAATTAAAAAAAAAACAAATCTTATTTTTTAAATAAACCGAACGAACATTAAATTTACATGATGCAACAAAAGTTGAGTTTTACGTTTTAATCACCTCGATATATTAGTATCATAATAAAATATATTTAAGATAGAAATATCATGCAAAATTAATACACCAGCAAATAGAATAATTGCTTTCGTTTTTATGATAAGCAAACGGAGTATTGCCTTCGAAGAAATGTTCTTCGCTTTCTATAAAAATGGCCACGTTTATTTGTCGACATTATATTGCAAATGCAGGCGTCGCTTAAGGCATATTCTCTTCTTATTTTTCACTCTATTCCAATTAAAAATGTTAGTATCAATTTGCAGTTTAGGACAAGCGTTTCTGCATATTCGTAACATTACAAGTGCAGATAGATTGCAAGTGTTATTTTTTTTGTTTATTTATAATAGTTTGAGCGCTAATACAGGCTGAAACAAAAATAAATGCTCCGCGTTCGATTAGATTTTCACTTAATTAGGATTGATGTTAAAGAATCGTTAATGAACGAGAAAATCAAAGAGGAGAAGGAGAAGGGGAAAATAAGAGGTGGGGTATTCATCTTGATAACACTTTAGATATGTTAGAAATAGATTAGTGAGAATTGCTGCGTTTTTCATTGCTTGCTTTCACAAAATATCGCTCCCTAACTCTCTCTCTCTCTTCCTCTCTGTATATATATATATATATATATATATATATATATATATATATATATATATATATATATATGTGTGTGTGTATATATATATATATATATATAGAGAGAGAGAGAAAGAAACAGAAACGTTCCTGCCAATCTATCTATCTTTTGATATGTTTGTATTCATGCCAATCAATCTATCCATATCTCTTTCTTTCTATATATATATGGTAAAATATATATATATATATATATATATATATATATATATATATATATATATATAGATAGATAAATAGAGAGACAAGGGGTATTTTAATCTATCTATCTATCTATCTATCTATCTATCTATCTATCTATGTCAGTATTCCTTTTCATTAATATATCTATTTATATAGTTATTTATTTAATCTCGCCGCTTCTTTATTTTCTTACCAATCCATCTGTTTATATCTCTTTCTGTTTAATTATTTGCCTGCCAATCTATCTATCTATCTATCTATCTATCTATCTATCTATCTATCTATCTATCTATCTATCTATTTGTGTGTGTGTATGTGTGAGTGTGTGAGTGTGTGTAGATATGTAAAAAAAATAGGAAAGAACACGTTAGGTAAATAATCCGGCTTTCTTTATTATTTTATTTTTATTTAAAAAAAAAAACAGTGTCCCATACAGAAGTAGAGTTTAAATTATATTTTTTGTTTTAAAAACGAGGGTTGAAAACCTCAATATAATTATTAAAATTAAATTGAGTTAAAGTATCAAGCCCTGTTTCATCCTCAAGCGAAAATTTAGGAATCTAGGATTTAAGATTCCTAAATTTTCGCGGAGGATGATTGGACGGTTTTTAATTACATTAATTATATTGAGGTTTTCGGCTCTCGTTTTTTGAAACATGAAACTTATGATTAGCGAAGGAAAAATAATATATATATATATATATATATATATATATATATATATATATATATATATATATATATATATTTATGAACAAAAATGACAATAGGAAAACTGGTAATTGCTGACGCGTTTCGTCCAATTATTTTATCAAAGCAAAATACGAAAATGAAATTAATTGAATAAAGTAACTAATAAAAACAAAAAACAGAATGTACCTAGCAACTGGAATGTAGAGAAACGCTATTTTAATATTTTTAACTGAAAAATAACGTCAGTATTTGTCACGTGTGGAGAATATTGTCATTATATCTGTGTTGAAGTATTCAACCATTTCCTCTTGATTTTATGAATCTGTTGTGTATATTTTGCTTTGATAAAGTCCACATTGGATGAAACGCGTCAGCAATTACCAGTTTTCCTATTGTCATTTTTATTCATAAATATTGTCTTCTCTACTGGTGAAATCAGATAAATTTTATATATATATATATATATATATATATATATATATATATATATATATATATATATAGTGAGAGAGATAGAAAGAAAGTCGGTAAGAAAGAGAGACATATTAATATAGGTACTTAAAAAGAAAATGGCACCTAACTTGCTAAAAGCAAAGTTTAATCAGGGAACATCTTCAATTTATTATTAAGACGAAATATTAAAATAGTTATTGATTATTTTATTACATTTTTTTAATCCTTGCTAGGACGTTTGAAATTTTCGTTAAATATCTTGTTCTTCCCGCCTCACTGGGTAGGCTAAAAATTAGTATGGTAAATTTTGCGTCTGTTCTGCTGTAAAAGAAAAAAAAAACAAACAAAAAACATTGTTTTGGAAACGCGTCAGCAATTAACAGTTTTCCACATGTCATTTTTATTCATAAATATTGTCTTCTCTCCTGGTTAAATCAGAAAAAAAATATATATATATATATATATATATATATATATATATATATATATATATATATCCTGCCAAACTCTCTATCTTTATCATGCATTTTACTCTTGATCCTTATTAGGTTTCCTTCATAAAATTCTTATCAGTTTTTAACACGACTGTCTCGACTGTGAAAACTCGCTCTTATAAAGTCATGCCATTCCATTCCATTTACCACCCATTAATACTGCTATATTTTTGATTTTTCAACACTCAGATAATTTCATATTCTACCGTTTTTAAGCATGAAGCATGATCCGGAGTTAAAAAAAAATAGCGTATGATCATCTTTGAATACACATCTTATATTCTGAGAAGCACGTCTAGCATAATCCACACATGAACGCGTATTGATGGAACCATAGATATTAGCCCGCAGACATTGATATTACTGATTAGAAATTTGACGCCAGAGAAACGTGCTTGTCTTCTTGCCACAAATGTATGACGCGACATGACACCGCTGAGAATATCATGACCAATACTTCGACTACCTGATGCACCACTATTTTTCTGCGGCAAAACTTTCAACATGGAAGAACATTTACTCTGTTTATGAGTCGTTTT